CTTTTAATTAAAACAGGTTATCGAATAGATTGTAAAATGTGTTTGCTACTCCCTGAGTAGCACTAGTATTTGTTGCTGACTTATATGGATGATGAAAAGATATAGCTTTGTAGTTTGAGTTTTACCTCAACAGAAGACAACTGTTTTGCTTATAAAATAGAGCCTTTTTCAAACTTATTTTGCGGTTGTTTTAACAGAAGACAACTGTTTTGCTTATAAAGTAGAGCCTTTTTCAAACTTATTTTGCAGTTGTTTTCAAATGGGCATTGGCACTACTCCAGTTTATGGAAATTCATTTGTCATTGGACATAAGCCTCTTCTCCATAGTTGTAAATGACTTTTCTCCCCTGGAGGGCGGAGGAGAACGGAGACCTACCACAGGGGTCTTACAGGGGACCTACTACTATTGTCTTCTGGGAACGTTGGAACATTTTCCTCCAAACTTTTTCTTGGGATCCTCAGGGAAAACTGGGTGGCCACATGTAGGCTTAAGAGCCATCTATTATGGTCCATTGATTCTGAGCTAATGATTAGACCAGAGCTACTTCACATGCGGCCCTCAGCCTATTGACCTACCACAGGGGTCTTACAGGGGACCTACTACTATTGTCTTCTGGGAACGTTGGAACATTTTCCTCCAAACTTTTTCTTGGGATCCTCAGGGAAAACTGGGTGGCCACATGTAGGCTTAAGAGCCATCTATTATGGTCCATTGATTCTGAGCTAATGATTAGACCAGAGCTACTTCACATGCGGCCCTCAGCCTATTTGTTTGCGGCCCCCGGTGCGGCTTGGATTTACATGGGGCTCACCATGCAGCCCGCTGGTAGGATCCTTTGAATATGGCCTCCACTGGGAACACACTCCTCAATGGTGAGTCAGTATAATGGTCTTGTGTTTTAGTTAAGTTCCTGGATTGTCATTGCTCATTAAAAGTGCTGTCATATGGGTGGAAATCAGGTAAATATTCCATTTTGTTAATATCAGTAGAGCTGACTTAAATGGGGTCTCGGTGTTGTGTAACTTTGCATTAATCTTTGTATTCATGCTGGTCAATGTGAAAGAAGCTATTTGCATGTATATTTGCATGTATATGCAACCACACTTACGTTGCGGCCCTTGGCATGTATTATGAGAATCATTGTGGCCCCCAGGGCTTCCAAAGTTGAGTAGCCCTGGATTAGAAAGACAGGGGTGAAGAGCTCTTCTACTTCAAGAGTTTTGGTAGCAGAGTATATAAAACACTTGCAAAATCACTTGGCCAAAGTGAGTGGGCTTTTTAGAGTTAGTCATTGGTGCCTTTCTTGGAGAGGAGGGTGAAGAAGTCTTAGCTGCCTGCCTGCAGCTCTTCTCTTGAGGAGGGAGAGGGAAGGCCGTGGGCAGAATGGATGGAGCTGCTTGTGCTCAGAAAGAAGGGAGAGGAGCCAAGGAGCAGAGCGTTCTCCAAGACATTCCTTGTGGGAGTTAAAGAAGAAGCCAGAGTTTTGTGAGAGAAGGGCAAAAGAGAGCCCTGCCTAGAAGTATGGCCCAGCATAAAATCTCTTGTAGGAAAAGGGGTGTGTCAGGGCATGGGGGGAAAGCATATACTGATTGTGGGGGCCACACACTATTAATATGCAATTTTCCATTCAGTAATACTTGACACCCCAATATTTTTGGTTTTAATTTGAAAGGGGGGGAGAGGAGGCTGTTTAACAATCCAATATTAAGTGGGAAGCATTATGAGTGTGGTGTCCTGAAGGGAGGTGTTATTTTGTAGCAGTGAAGATATGAAAATATAGAGAAAAATGGTTTTGAGGGGTATATAGGTATTTTCCACCAAGGCTAGTTACAGTACTTGTCAAGGAAATATGTTGAACCCTAGAGCAGTGGTTCTCAAACTTTTTGGTCTGTGGCCCTTCTGCTTAACGCAAACCTTTCTGGGGACCACCAGCCATGATGACAAAATGCCTTTGCTTAGCTCTAAATACCTTAAATACTAAATTATTCATATTGGGGTACTGGAGCTATATCGTAAGGTGCATACATAACTGGTAAGAGGAAGTATTAATTAAAATCACAATAACTGAACAGATTAAGTGCCATAACTTTATCAAGTTAGCTTACCAAACTTTGTTTTAAATAAAGTAAAATACTAATTTATATTCAAAACAAAAGGTTTCAACATTGTCTTCATTTACGGCAGGGGTTGGGTTGGGGGCACTGATTCACAGAAAAATCAGTCAGGAATCACACAAGTGAGAGGCAAATCCCAGCACTTACTAATGTGGCCCCCAACTGAGACACCTAACTCCCCGGGTGCTCCAACCCCAAGGGGGGGGGCAAGAATGGAGGAGGAGAGAGGGGAAGGTTCAGGGTTTCCCACGGGCCAGGTGAACTCTACTGAGGTCCTGGGATTAGTAGATTTTGTGAGGCCCCTAGGCCTGGGTTGGGGTAAAACAATGAGGGATTCATTGCTGGAGGAGGCTGAGAGAGAGTGGGATAAGGATGGGGGGTGCAGGTTAAGGATGTGGGTAGGAGGTAGGGTGCTGCAGCAGGCTGGGAGTTGGTCTCTGGGTAGGAGTTTTGGGTGCAGGAGGGGGTGAGGGTGTGAAGTCTGGCCAGGAGGAGGATGCAAGAGCAAGGGAGGCTGCAGTGACTCTCCGGGAGGGAGGGTGCCAGGAGTGGGCTGGGGGTGCAGGGTCATGGAGCGGGAAGGCTCTTGCCAATCATCGTGCTCTGAGACGCTGCGTCCCAGGCACCACCTCCTGCTGCTCTCATTGGTCATGATTCTGGCCAATGGAAGCAGCGGGGAAAGCCTCCAGGCAGCACGTCCATGCGCTACGGTTCTCTGAGCCAAAGGGAGGAGGAGCAGCAGCATGCGGAGCTGCTTGTTCCCCTGCAAACCACGTGCCAGGGCAAGGCTCAGGGCTTTCTCCCTTCTCCCCCCCGCCAGCAGGAAGCCGATGCTGGCGCTCCAACCTCACAGGGGAAGGAAGGGCAGGGTGGAGCACCAGCACAGGCTCCCTGCTGCAGGGGAAGGTGCTGAGCTTTGAACTATGGCCCACTTGAATGGCGGCCACGGTGGCAGTTTGAGAACCACTGCTCTAGAGTAAATTAGTCCCATGGCCACTGCTGCTGAAGTGCATTTGCACTGCACAGGCTTCCTGGGAGACATGAGACAAATCTTAGTCTGCACCTTCGTTTCCTCCTCTGTTGGGTTTGGGGCCTGTTGGGACAGGATCTTTGCCAGCTGGAGTTCAGAAGCAAGACTCTTAACTATGAACTTTCAGTCCCTCTGACAGTGGCCAAGATTTGAACCATTGAACTGGAGTTGAGTCAGCCAGTCTACCTATCTCCCGGGGAGCGTTGAGACTGACTTAACGAGCATTCAACACATTGTCATAGATTCCATCTCAGCATCTCCAAAGCATTTTTGTGTATCACTTGGCCAAATCCTAAAGTTGTTGTTACATTTTTACATCTTCCGTAATTAGGCAGAATTCCCATTTGAAGCAGAAGGAGATTGCTTGACTTAAGGATTTGACTGCCTGACTTTTTTATAACAGTTTCTTTAATACAAGTCAGGATATTATTATAAGGTTCTTTTGGGCTTGTAGAGTGCCAAAGTGTGTGCATTTTTTGAACAAGAAATCAGCCCACTGCTTTAGCTGCAGGAAGTGTGTGCTGGAAAATATAGTTGTAAGCTTTAATAGTCTTAACTTTTTAAGAAGAAATATTGTGGCTGATCACTGTTGAAACAGCCTGTATAGAAAAGGAATAGGTACTACGGATGTAAAAAGGCATTGAAAAATGTAACCACATAACTGCTAAGAATGCTAGCCGTTACATGAGCTGCAGGCTGTGTAACCGGCTCCTCCCTCCCCTGGAGCCAGCATCTAGCCGGCTGCAAAGGGTGGTCTGGTCCTGCTTGCAGGTGGCCCCTCCG